CTGGCTGGTGTGGCTCAGTAAGTTAGAGTGTCATCCCAAAAGGTGGTGGGTTTGATTCCCAGTCAGGGCACATACACAGGGTTCCTTTTGATTCCTGGTTGGAGGAATTTGGGAGAAAGTTGACCAAGGTTCTTCTCTCTCTCTCTCTCTCTCTCTCTCTCTCTCTCTCTCTCACACACACACACACACACACTTTCTTCTCTGTAAAACTCAATTAAAAGTTTTGAGTCACCTTGATTTTTTAATTGTATCATGGCATTTCACTAACATTGTTCTTTAAAAGAATATTCAAAATACACAATATTCATTAAAATTGTCAATGAAATAAACTGGATTTTCTAAAAATTAACTTAGCCCTAGCTGTTTTTGGATCAGTGGATAGAGCTTCAGCCTGCAGACTGAAGGGTCCCGGGTTCAATTCAGGTCAAGGGCACATGCCCAGTGGGGGGTGGGGGTGTGCAGGAGGCAGCCAATCAATGGTTCTCTCTCATCATTGATTTTTCTATCTCTCCCTCTGCCTTCCTCTCTGAAATCAATAAAAACGTTTTTTTTAAATAAAATAAATTAAAATTTTAACTTAGACTTCAAAATAGAGAGAACCTATAGCACTCACCTGCTCAAGATGATTTGACCCTGTCTCCTGCCTTTCCCCTCCATCTTCTTTATCCGGACCTGGAGGAAGACTGGGGCTGAAGGCCATGAGGTCCGTCTTGGGCGGCCCCTCCCCAGAGCACACCCTCTGCCGCCTCTGTTGTGAGTAAGACCAGCTGCCCACCGCGCTGGAGCACACCAGCACGGGCTTCCCCGGCCCACATGCGCCCTCGGTGGGAGGCGTCGAGCACCGCAGAGCCAGGTACAGAATCAGCGTGAGCACCAACAGGCTGGACACTGCGCAGATAGCGATGATCAGGTACACGTTCACGTCCACCAGCGCCGTCCCTGAGCCCTGGGCACCCAAAGAAGCTCGCGATGAGGCCTTAGGCGCCTGGCCGCTGTCCACCAGCGACAGCAGCACAGTGGCCGTGGCCATAAGCGCCGGCTCGCCGTGGTCCTTCACCAGCACCAGCAGGCGCTGGCGCGGCGAGTCCGCCTCGTCCAGGGCGCGCGTCGTGCTGATCTCGCCCGTGTACAGCCCCACGCGGAACGGGCTGCGCGCACCACCCGCCGCCGGCAGCAGCTCATAGGACAGCCACGCGTTGTAGCCCGAGTCCGCGTCCACCGCGCGCACCTTCGCCACCACGTGGCCCGCGCCCACCAAAAGCGACACCAGCTCGCTCACAGCACCGCCGGGGCCGCCCGGAGCCGGAGTCAGCAGCGCGGGCGCGTTGTCGTTCTCGTCCAGCACGAACACCTGCAGCGTCACGTTGCTGCCCAGAGGAGGCACGCCCGCGTCGCGCGCGCTCACCTGGAACTGCAGCAGCTCCAGCTCCTCGTGGTCCAGAGGCTGCAGCGCGTACACCTTGCCGCTCTCCGCGTGCACCGACACGTAGCTCGACAGCGCGCGCTCGCCCACCCGCCGCTCCACCAGCGAGTAGGACACCAGCGCGTTCTCCTGCGCGTCCAAGTCCCGCGCCGACACCGTGAAGATGTGGCAGCCGGGCGGGTTGTTCTCCTTCACGAACACCGTGTACTCGGGCTGCGCGAACAGCGGCGCGTTGTCGTTCACGTCGGCCACCTCCACGGACAGGCTGGCGGTGGCCGACAGGGAAGGCGAACCCTGGTCCCGCGCTGTCACCACCAACTCGTAGTGTGACACCTTCTCGCGGTCCAGGGCGCTGTCCAGCACTAGTGAGTAGTAGTTCTTGAACGTGGACATGATCTTGAAGGGAACTTCGGGTGTTAGAGAGCAGATCACCTGTCCGTTCGCACCAGAATCGCGGTCGGATACACTAATTAACGCAATGACGGTACTAGGCTGAGTGGCCTCTGGTACTGGGAGAGACAGGGAGGTCACGGTGATTTCAGGCGCATTGTCATTGGCATCTAAGATTTCTACCCAGACTGTACAGTGACCTGCCATTGGAGGATTTCCCTTATCTGTGGCCTGTACTTCAATTTCATAAAATTTGTTTTTTTCATAATCTAAAGTTCCATTGACCCTCACCTCTCCACTATTTTTATCTATTGTGAATAAGGGTTTTCCATTGGGCTTAACGGACAACAAGGAGTATGTGACCTCCCCATTGACTCCTTCATCTAGATCTGTAGCGTTCAATTTTATCACAAACGTTTCTTTGGCTGCGTTTTCCATTAATCTCACCTTGTATTCTGGTTGCTCAAATTCTGGATCATTGTCGTTAGTATCCAAGATGCAGATGAAAAGCTGAACCGTGCCAGTTAGCTCCGGCTTTCCCTGGTCTGCAGCCGTCAGTAGCAAACTAATTTCCGGAGTTTTCTCCCTATCCAGAGACTTCTTTAATGTAAGTGATAGTCTATTAGTCTGCTTACTATTTCTTGGTAATTCTAAAGAAAAATATTCATTTTGACTTAGTCTGTAAGTCAATAGAGCATTCTCTCCTATATCCGCATCAGAGGCGCCCTCTAGAGGAAAATGAGAGTCAGGTGGCTTCGATTCCGAAATCAGCAGCTTTTGTTCTCTGAGAGAGAACACCGGCGGGTTGTCGTTAATGTCCTTCACCTCCACCTCCACATGGAAAACCTGCAGCGGCCGCTCCACCACCACCTCCAGGTGGATGCTGCACTCAGCCCTCCGCCCGCACAGCTCCTCGCGGTCGATCCGAGAATTCACAAACAAAATGCCATTCTGCAGATTTACCTCCAGGAGGTCCCCGCGGCCTTTGGACGCCACCCGGAACAGGCGCGGCACCAGCTCCGCCAGCTCCAGCCCCAGGTCCTGCGCGATGCGGCCCACGAAGGTGCCGTGCTTGGCCTCCTCGGGGACCGAGTAGTGAACCTGGCCGCTCCCAGCCTCCCAGAGCGCGAATAGCAGAAGCGACAGCAGCAGTTGCTGAGTGTCCAATCCCCCTCTTTGAACCCCAAACATTGCACACGACGTGAACTTGCAAAAAAATGATTCTTTACACTTACAGTACCAGAGACTCCAGTTTCGGGTTTAAAATCTCGCTGAATTTTTTAGAAGCTTCATAGGATCCGTTAACAGTAGCGACCGGCTTAATGGAGTCGTTTTATATGGGGAGTTCCTGGATGGTCAGACCAACCCTTGATGAACTATTTTCACCAAGTAAAGAGCGACACCTTGTGCCTGAAATTGTGAGTATTGTGCACTACACCCAATATCACAGAATTTTAGTTAAAGAAAAAAAATAATTAATTTCTCATGTTTCCTGATATTTTAACCCCAAGGTATTATTTTCAAAGTACTTATTTATGGAATATTCAGATTTTAAGTCATATTAAAATTGATGGTCGGTGGGAAATGGCATTTTAGTATTGACTAACATCAAATTTAAATTCTTGTTCCTATGTTTGATTTAAAGTTATAAAATTATTCTTTTACTCATCTACATATATACAGGGAGATCAATTCTAAGAATAACTTTATAAAACTATGGTTAAACACTTCCTATGGGTATTGTTCCTCATACAAATATTATCAAATTTGAATTGTTTTACTTCTAGTCTCCCTTGTTACTTTGACTGCTAGGAAACTCAAGGACAAAATTAAAGTTTTAATAAAAACTATTTGTTCTTAAATCCTGCATCTTGTGTTCCCACCTATGTGCACTTGCCTTCTACTTATATTTTCCTTAGCTCTGATACATTTGTGATCTTCTATAAGTTTTATTTTATTTTATTGTTGACAATATTACATTTAATTGTGAAGTTATTGTAAACACCTTTATATCTATTGAAGAACAAGAAAAACAAAAATATTTTTCCAAATTTGGCAGTTTAAAACATAGGATTCACAAGGGAGATATTTATTGATGTAAATTAAATTTAAATTTCATGTAAATTTTATATGATCATGTAAGTTGCAATGCTCACAATATAATATGAAGTATGACAATAGTGACACAATTAGTGTCAATGATATGACAGAAGTCATCTTTTCAATGATGAATTTCATTATCATTCAATGAAATAAATAAAAACCACCATGAAAATGTCTATACCATATTGGTATTTTACGTTATCTATATTGGTTTTTGTATATCTAGTTAAGATATATTCATGAAAACAGCTGACCTGCATCTTGTTAAAAGAATTTTGGGTTTAAGATCATAATTTTATCCAAAACAAAATAAATGACATCTAATTGTATCTCCTTTATGTGTCTAAAAATGCACTAAAAAATAAACAATCTAACCAAATGGCAAATAACTTCTGCAATGGGTGCAGAAGTGTAGAAAGTGATTCAGAATATATACACTGTAGCTTAAGTATTTTGTTGTATAGTTTTGATGGTTCATCTCCAATCTAAAAATATTGCAATGACATATGAAGAAATCACTAGCATATTTATTATGTGTTAATATTTTTCTTTTCCTTGAATATACACACATGTGTATATGCACAGGGTGAGGCAAAAGTAGGATTATAGTTGTTTATATAAAAATAATACAATAATTAATAAATAATAATACAAGAATAAACTCTGTGTTTTGCACACTTAACAACTGTAAACCTACTTTTGCCCCACCCTGTATTATTCTGAAATTTCCAATTTCAGATCTTGTTTCACTTTTTTCAAATTTACTCTTTTCCTGATATTATCATTCTGCTAGAACTCTTATAAAGTAAATGCAAATTCTTTCTTTAAAAACTAATAAAGCAAATTCTCCATCTTTTATGACACTGAATTATGTTATACACCTGTAAAAGAGTCATATTGGTCTCTAATCAAAATATAACATTACACTAGATAACAGTAGATTTAACATGATATTTGAAGCCTGTCAGATTTATTTTGGAGAAAAAGGAAGCAAAGATATTCAACCACTTCACTATGGAAATTGGAATTGAGAAGTGACATGCAATGTAGAGTCTTCAAAAATAGATAGAGATACAGAGAAAGTTTACCCAAGGGTGATGAAGATATTACATATCTGAATTAAAATGAGAATTTAAGAATTACTGGCAGATTCACCAAGTTGGAATTTTCCTAGAATATAAGTATGGACAGATATCATTCTATGATGTGACAAAGAGACTCCTCATTTATAATTTCTCAAAGGAGCTCTCAGACCTCCATTTTCTCTTTGTTTCCCAAATGAAGGTACAAATTCAGACTCTCTTAGCATCTGCCTCCCTGATGTTTTCTTCGTGTAATGTTACTGTAGTCCTCAACCTTCCTTGGTGTGAAATCTAAAACCACAAGATACTCGAAAGTCTTTTGCATGACTTTGTAAAAGAATTTATATATATTAAGTAATCTAATAAAAGATTTCTTGTGCTTGAAAAAATAATTACTTTTCAGTAATGTGGTATTTTGTGAGTATATGAAGTGAAACTGGACAAACACTAAATCATAAAAGAATTTTTTATATTGTATGAACCAATGACTCATCTTTTGCATTTTGGCTGTGATATTTCAGTTATCACCATCTCAACTAGCCCCTTTAGAAGAGATTATGCTACTGTTGAAATCACCTTTGGGGATTGGCCTGGGATCTGGCAATAGACTAATGCCAAGAAGTCACATCAATATCATTGATAAACTGATTTTGTAAAATCATTGAAAAGACTGAGGAACTTTGTGTCTGACCCTTACTAAACCAATCTGGTTAGTCTTAAATTCCAACTGGATGCCCTGCTAGTCATGTATTAGAGTGCATGGTTTAACGTTCTACTCGTTCTCATCATCCACTAATATTTTATAATAAGTCTAGTATTATAACTTATTGAAAACATAGATAAATAAATCTTGAAGTAATTCTTAGAAACCCAGGAGGTTCTTGAAAATCAAAAGGTTAGAAGTACTATTCAAAATTGTATTAACAAATTTATAGGATATACTCAGTGATGTTCACTCTGCCTATCATGGCTTATTCAAGTATATACAGTTCTTTGATCACAGATTATTTGTCCAGTTGGCACAAATCTCTCAGACAACAATAAGACTGAAGAAGAATGAAACCTGAAAGACCTTAATAGATATGCATTTGAATATCATCTTTATCATGTACTAGCTGGATGGCAGTGGACAAGATAGATATCTCACCATTTATTATATCATCTTTAAAATTCAGATAGTCACATGTAATCTACATGCTGTTATAGGAAATAAATGAAATTATGCATTTTAAGCCCTTCATATTCATATCATGTCTAACAAATGAAGCAGCTCACATCGTGGTGGTTTATTATAGTCAGTGACCAATGTTTGCTCTTATTCTATTCTATAGCTAAGGATAAAGACAATCCCAGTACAGTAACTAGGGCATGGTTTTTCCTTTTCTGAAATCATCCTACTTTTTAGGCAGAAAATGACAACTAATGCCTTCTCAGCCATTTCTATTAACTTCACCCTATTATAACATGGTCTCCTCCCACATGTCAATTAGCATAAACAATTTATTTCCAACAATCCAATTAAAGTGTCTCTAATTTGTATTCAGGAGTCAAAAACAAACACAAAAAACCCTTCCACATTATTTGATTCACAACCTTACAGCTCAAAATAAAAGTTCTTAAATTCCCATGAATATAGCTTTGTGACCAAAAAAGTGTTTGCATCAAATGTATCTAAAGTACACAATGTTAAATTCTGAAATGCCATCAACAACACCATTGTCAAGTACTAGTGCTAAGTGGACATGTCAAGTGGAAGTTCCACAATTGTTATGCTTAAGTTACTTAAAGACCTGTTATTTTGAGGACCAAGTGGCTTGGGGAACACAGGCAGCAGAATCCACAATCCCCCATGCATGAGAAGACTCTCTCAATCACAAAGCATATAGAAGTATGACTTTTCCTACCCTAAGATACTTCCACACAGTTTCATGGCAGGTGCCATGAATGGAAGAAAGTATAATAAATGCTCAAAAAATCTTCCAAATACAATAGAGGAGCTTAATGAATTAATCAGGAGGAGAACAGCAATGGGTTCAACAGGCAATTAGCAAACTGGTCTTATATTAGGAAATAAAGGGAAAATGTCTAAAGCAGCTGAAGACTAAGAAGAAAATGAGCTTGAAATTACAGGGGGATTAAAGACAGAGAAGTAAAATCATCCCCAAAGTCAAGGAGAAACTCCACCCACTATTTCAAAGAAGCACACCATTGATTATAAAGAAACAAAATGGAAAGAAGGATCTTTTACCATTCGAGACAGCATGGAGGGACTGGGAGAGTATTATGCTAAGCAAAATAAGCCAGTCAGAGAAAGACAAGTATCACATGATCTCACTCATATGTGGAATCTAATGAACAAAATAAACTGTTGAACAAAATAGATCCAGAGACATAGAAGCATGGCACAGACTGTGAAGTCTCAGAGGGAAGGTGTGGGAGGGTGGGTTGGTGGGAAGAGATCAACCAAAGAACTTGTATGCATATATGCATAACCCATGGACACAGTCAGTCGGTGGTGGAGGCCTGGGGCAGTGGACAGGGGTGGGCTAGAAGGGGTCATTGGGAGAAAAAAAGGGACATATGTAATACTTTCAACAATAAAGATTTTTTTTTTAAAGAAACAAAATGCTTTATAAAATGAGGCCACCTCACCAGCCCATGCCCATTAGTAATAGATGAATTTATGGATTATAGGAAGGTAAGAATTTAAACATGTTTGAACTCAAATTAACTAAATTATAAAGTTATCCATTATTATGGCAATGAATAAACATAATAAGTGGAGGCCACCACTTAGAATTTTAAAAAATGGGTAGGAAGAATGAACTTGCTGCAAAATTGAGAAGTAGAAGATTAGAGCCTTGCCCATGCCCTTCAGTTCTCATCAGTGAACCTTGCCTCTTTCCAGACTGAAACTTATGCATTCACAGGAAGCTTTAGCCACCTATTTCATTTTTGTTATTACTGAGTGGAGGTGTGTTCATGAAGACTGCCCTGAATGAGTAATAAAAATGGCTGGACTTCCGGTTTGCTTTAAAATAA